GCAGGAATGTTTTAATATGAACTGGCAAAATATGGTTAAATTTTAACCAAAAATATTGTAGTAAGATTGTCCTATCCTAATTAAGGCAAGAAAACAACAAAATGTCAGTTCTGTTGAGTAATCTGGGAAAACTTCCACAGGTTCATAATCACTTTGCAGGCTCTAGAATTTCTAATTGATTTTACATTCATTTAGTAAGATAAGCATTTCCCAATTTTGGCTAATAATTACTATATATCAAAATCAATACCTCCCATTAAAATCTTTACCTTCAGTTAATCATGTTATAATCATGTAATAAAAAGATTCTTTCCGTACAGAGTAAGTTACCTTGCCCTGTGATATAATGCTGAAAAAGAACCAGTGTGATAAAACTTCCAGAGCAGGTAAATCCATACAGACCTTCAAACTAGAGGTTGCCATGGGGAGGGGAGAAGAGGTGGGGAAAGGTGCAGCGACCGCTTAATGGTAGGGGTCTCCCTCTGAGGTGACGAAAGTGCCCTGAAACTGGGCAGGAGTGACAGCTACACACATTTTACATATACTAAAGCCACTGAACTACTATATACTTTAAAGTGGCTAATGGCTAATCTTATGTTATGTGAATTTCACCTTGATTAAAAAAAAACTGTTTAAAGAACCGGTGTTATAAAAAATTGTTAAAATCATGTTTTTAAAAAAGGCTTTAGAATAGTAATAGTCAATGAAAAAAATTAGCCGATTTGTCCACTAAACCCTTTTGGTAACGAACATGTTGAAATGCCCTTTTCTCCAAAGTGGGTAAAGCATTTTAATACCATAATTGGAAACACAAGGTCAAAAGTTCAAGTTTCCAAATTATATACTTAAAATTGTATTCAGTATTCAGTAAATGAGAACTTTAAAATGCGTATCCTCATAGGCACACTGGGACAAATAGAGATAAGGTTCTTAGATCAGCCTACAAAATCCTATTTAATCCATGTGTGGCAGTCATATTTTAGAGAAATATCAATTTAAAAAAATGTATACACTACCTATTTCATAAAAGGACTTGAGGGCCTCCCTGGTGGCACAGTGGTTGAGAGTCCGCCTGCCGATGCAGGGGACACGGGTTCGTGCCCCAGTCCGGGAGGATCCCACATGCCGCAGAGCGGCTGGGCCCGTGAGCCATGGCCACTGAGCCTGCGTGTCTGGAGCCTGTGCTCCGCAACGGGAGAGGCCCGCGTACCGCAAAAAAAAAAAAAAAAAAACAGGACTTGAAGTGACTATGAAAAATAACAATGCATTTGAAAAATGGCAATAAGACAAGAAAAAATGAACATGTTTAAAATTTATATTAAGGGATGAAATTTTAATCTGGTTTGATTAAAGGAGACTGAATGAAAACATCGTATGCTACGTAAACAAAGCCTGTCAAACAAGACCATGTATTCTATGACTCCACTCACGTGAAGTGTCCAGAAGAGGCAGATCTAGTGACACAGAAAGCACATTACTGGTTGCTTAGGGCTTGATGGGATGTGGAAGTAGAGGGGTGACAGCAACGAGTACTTCTTTTTGAAGTGATGAAGATGTTCTAAAATGACTGTTCTGATGGTTGCACTTATCTGAACATGCTAGAAACCAATGAACTGTACACTTTAAACGGGTGAACGGTGTAGTATGTTAGTCATATTTCAATACGGTTTTAACAAAATAAAAATAAAAAGAGATTCAATAGGCAATCTGCAGAGATTTAAAGATGCCATCAGGTAACTAACACTGATTACGATGTCAGTTACTTTTTCTTACCACTGAGGCTTTACACCAACCAGATTTTAATTCACAAAGAACCAAAAAAAAAGAAATCTGCTTGTATTAACTGGGTAAGAGTGGGAAAGAAAGGCAAAAGACTCCGTTCAAACAGGGCAAGTAGAGAAGAGAGAGCAGAGGCTGCAGGAGGAAAGAAGAGACTCTGGGGAGCAGAAGCCTGGCGGGGGGGCCAGACTGGGGCTTGCGGGGAAGGACGCTGCACACTTACAGGGAAACAGAACAGCCTCAGCAGAATTAACAGAGCTGTTCCTGTTTTCCACCTGAAGGTAAATGAAGAATGAAACAGAATCCTGCTGAGGCAGTTCCCTGCCATGGCCATCAGAGGGGACCCTGAGTCTGGGGCAGTCAGGTGACCGGCAAACTCTTGAGAAAGGGTTAACTGCCTGGGGGAATAATTTGCAAACCGTCCTCTTAACTCCCATGAGAACACTTACAATCTCATGTTTCCAGGATTACCAAGAAATTCCCTTTTACCAAAATGTAAATAATTTATAAAAGGTCTTCTCAGAAGTTACATATTACCCATATTTAAAATAAGTTAAAAAGGGTTTCTGCTTCTTTTCTAGATGGATGGATAGATTAAGAATACTGCAGTAATAGCACCTTACATTCATACAGGAAATCCTGACAAAACCACTAAAATCATGTTCACTTTGATCTTTATTTAATGCTCATGCACCCAGGACTGTGTTAAATAATGCAAAAGATAAAAAGTATTAGAAAGCAGCCCCTCTCTATCTCTCTGAGTCCCTTCAAAGTTTAAACCCTTAGCAGAGAGCTGAGGGGCACACAAGGTTAACTTTCGCACCATTAATGCCATCAGTGACTTGAGAGCTCAAAGAAAAAGAAGAGATGCTATTATGCTGAGGTTAGTGTGGGCAGGCCCTAAGGGGTCATCCCACTGGTCAGCACAGGATGAACTGTAGGTGCAGAGAGGCTGAGGACCACGGTAGACAGGGAAACCGCCTGAGCAATACCAGCAGAACGGGTGGACAACATGTGATAGGAACCAAAAGACCTGATTTACTCAGGGGATGGAGGAAAGAGCCAGACAAGGAAAACAGCATCTGTGAGAAACCTGTGCCTCTAGAAAATCACAAGTACCCTAATAAACAAGAGTCTATATAGTTTCTTAAAATTAAGGAAGTAACAAGAAAAGTGTGTCTTCTGGAAAGCTTTAAAAGTTTCATTTCTTCATTTTGGCAAAACTCCACGGAACAGCGGCTCTATGGCACTGGGGTTACGCTGGCCCTGCTCTAAGGAGGCTTTTCCTTGTCTAGTGGGGAAGACATTAACTGAGGGTTGGAAGTTCCTACAAGAAACAGGAAATGGGAAGAGTTACTCGATTTTATGGAATCAAATAACATATAATTAAATGTTATTAAGAGTATCACAGGGAAACCTGACCAAATCTAGAGGATCTGAAGAAAATTCCGAGCCTGAACCAAGCTCTAAGGAATGACCAGAAGTTGACCAGGCAAAGACGTCGGGGAAGATGGGTTTCAGCGCGTGAAGGGGCTGGAGCTGAAGAGCAGGCTCCTTTGCAGAGAGGAGAGCAGCGGGGCTGCAGGAAAACACGCAAGTGGGGGCAAGGAGGGGGGATGAGGACCCGGGACAGGCGCAGTGTTGCAGAGCTCGTCACAAAGTTGCATCCTCCTTCTAAAAGGAAAGGAGAACCACTGGAGGGGAAGAGCAGGAGGGGCAAATCACAGGCTAGACTTGGGGAAGGGGGCGCTGCAAACACCAAGATCAAGTAGGATTCCTCCAAAGTTACGACCGAAGAGAAGGGCTTCCCTGGTGGCGCAGGGGCTAAGAATCTGCCTGCCAATGCAGGGGACACGGGTTCGAGCCCTGGTCCGGGAAGATCCCACATGCTGCAGAGCAACTAAACCCGTGAGCCACATCTACTGAGCCCACGTGCCAGAACTACTGAAGCCCGCGCACCTAGAGCCCGTGCTCCACAATGAGAAGCCACCGCAGTGAGAAGCCCGCGCGCCGCAACCAAGAGTAGCCCCCGCTCACCGCAACTAGAGAAAGCCCGCACGCAACAACGAAGACCCAAGGCAGCAAATAAATAAATGAATGAATGAATGAATAACTAAAGAGAAGTCACTGTATCACCAATATTACCTGGTCTAGGCTGGGCAATGCATTTGACAGCTTAGCGGGGGGTGGGGGAAAAAAAGGCACCTAAGCTCATTAAGAAGGAGGGAAATGATTCTTACCTTTGGACTGCTGGCCTGAGGAAGGAAGGGTAAAGTGTAATTTGACAGTATTCTCCAGGGATTTTTATATTTATGTTTAACAGCCCAACATAAATTCACTGCTTACAAATATGGTATACAAGTTGATCACGAAGATACCATATTTTGCATAAAAGGGGGAATTTTTAAATCAATAAAATCTGATTTTTAATTTAAACCTATTATCTGATTATTTTTTGAAAGACCAATGAAATTTAATAGAAGCCCAAGAGGTATTTTTAAACATTACACTTAGAGAAAATTAATTTACTGAAATTGATTGAAATAATTGGACTATATTATCTCTATGCTGCTATCATACTAACTGTATCTTGGTTCTTTGGTGAAGAGGGAGAAGACTCATTTTCAGGAAAGCAGGGTTTTGAGGCAGTTGGAGATTCCTACAAGAAATAAGTAATGAAAAATGTTACTCTATTTCATATAATTATATTTCTCCCTCTACTGACAGTGGGAAAGCTTAATAAGGGAGGCTAAGAAAAATTTTTTCCTAGTTATTTCCCTTCTGTATTCAGCTACGAAACTAATATGGTACAGATGTGAAAACTACAGATATCATAAAGTTTGTGAACTATGTCATATTTTATACCAATTACAGTAAATTTAAATACCGCATACGGAATTACTCAAAAGAAATGATGCATGTTGCCTTAAAATCATGATGTTGCATCACCTTAAATTAACCATATTTAAAATAAGTAAAATCTGAATACTTATGGATAAAAATGTAACAGTCCCCATACTAACTTGCTCTTGGTATGAAACCTGGTTTAGGATTTAGGATTAGGCAAGGAATAGTCACAGGAACTACTTGGCAACTGCCAGAATGAGAACTTGTATTAAGAAATTAAATTAAATTGCTATTAATATTTAATATAATTTATAGCTAACTTTCCAATTATTAGAAATAAGCAAGGTTGTTTAAAATGCAAAGAAGAAACCTCAGATTTACAGATTAATAACTCACCAGGAAAAAAAAATATTTTAATGTCTAAGCCTACAAGAATATATAATAGGAGCAAACCAATAACGTGCATTTTTAAAGCAATTCCGCTTTGTTAATATTAAAACATGGTATGTGATTTCTACCTCAGATATTTGTAAAACTATTCATGGAGGATAAGACTGAAAAAACATTTTTTGGTACCAAGAGCCATTGGTAGCCAATGGTACCAATGGTATCTACCAAGCTCCATTTTTCTCTGTTCTCCTAGAAGCTCTGAATAATTTCAGGAAAAGAGAATTAGGAAAATCATATGCCAATGTCTATTATTTTTCCTATAAAACCAAATAATTTACTTGGACATTCATCTTCACATCTGTATCATCTACTTTACTATACTTATGAAACTGGAAAACGTACTGTTGATAAGCCTGGGAATTTGTATCAAATCACAATACAAAAAACCATTAATAAAAAATCCATTCACTTAGAAAAAAGTCTTCAGGTTTATATCCTGTACAATTCGTAAATACAGAAACCAGGTAGCAGTGAAACTGTACAGGGAAAATCCTTGAAGGTAACAACCTTAAAATCCAAGACCTACACTATAAATGGAGAAAACATTAAAATCATTATCAAATATATCTTTATAAAAATTAATTACATTTAATGTCCAAATATCAGTTTAGCTTCATATAAGTATTTTTTCTAACAGCTTCAGATGTTTTACTTTTCAATTTCTTGACTTCTAAAACATCTAATATTAAAACACTCTGAGAGAAAGAGGAAAGATGTGATGACCTGTAAACTATAAAATAAGTAATTGAATAAAATGAATGGTAATTACAACTTATTTTTCATGGCATTATCAGTCTTACAGAAACGAAAACCACAGCAAATGGAGTAATAATGTAAACACAACAATTATAATTATTATAAACAATTTTACATTTATCCATTTGTTTATGTATACTTATAAATGTATATGCATATATAAATACATCTTAATGTCTACAAGCAGCAGGTTTTGGTAAAAATCATACATAGGCAGAAACAAACAGATGTATCCATACACACACACACACACACACGCACACACACCTAGCTCCACCAAGGTTGTCTGGCAACTGAATTAGGACCCATATCATCATAACAACATTCGCTACATAGTATTAGGTTTCTCTGATTACCTTTCGAGTTGTACGCATTTCACCCCTTGTCATATATTCGTCAGCTGGTTTGTTCTGGTATATATTCCCTCTTTTATAATCTCAAATCTTAAAATCGTGTATATACTGTGTGATGATACATAGAAGAGTTTACCTGGTGAAACAGCTATATCTATGACTCCATTTATAAAGGTGGGGGGGGACATGTCGACCAAAAATAAGTAGAGCCCTGGTCTCGAGAAAAATCATGTTATCACATGCCGAAACAATTAGATGAAAAAGGATATATAATAAGAACTCCATGCAGGTTATTCTAATAACAGACTGAAAATGAATCTCAAGAAAGATTATAAGGGAGTAACAAATTTTAAGTCTACATCACTAAAATAACCATCCCTTTTGTTCTAGTACGAAGAGGCAGTAGAGTTGGCTCAACAACAGCTTTCGCACTAGAGCTTTCATTACATACAGTAGGAGCTTTCTGTATACACTGAACTGTAATCTGGTTCTTGGAGTTAAATGAATTTTTCTATTAAAATCTCTAGGACTCTTACCTACACAGGTTAACCTCAATGCTAGTATATTGGATTGGCCAAAAAATTCATTTGGGTTTTCCCACAAGCGCTTATGAAAAACCCAAATGAACTTTTTGGCCAACCCGATATTTTCAAGCATTCTTCAATAGACAGACTCCAAAATTTCATTCCTTTAATATGCCCCCGACATTCAACCACATAACATCCTTACAAATAGAAATTAGAAGTACTTGTCTGACTAACTGATTGAGATAATTTAGAAAGGAATTTAAGACTGAAAGCATACAAACACAGAGAAACATGCCTCAGGAGAGTTCATCCTGTTTTTACTAACTACCTAAAAATACAGGAAACCTATTAATTATGTCAAAGGAGCAGCCTGGTGGTAAAATAACAGAGTCCCCAGCGACAAATATTTTAGCTTTAGGGTGTTGCCACCACCCTCAGATTTTAACATTAGTATGTCTGCTGTTCTACAAATTCGTACTAATTTCCTATTCTATCCCCCAAATGAAGCCACAATGTAAAGATGTAACTCACAAGGAAATTCAAAACTTCGTGGCTTTTCCAATCTCATGTTTGCATCAAAATCCATTCCCTGGGGCTTCCCTGGTGGCGCAGTGGTTGAGAGTCCGCCTGCCGATGCAGGGGACACGGGTTCATGCCCCGGTCCGGGAGGATCCCACATGCCGCAGAGCGGCTGGGCCCGTGAGCCATGGCCGCTAAGCCTGCGCGTCCGGAGCCTGTGCTCCGCAACGGGAGAGGCCACAGCAGTGAGAGGCCCGCGTACAGCAAAAAAAAAAAAAAAAATCCATTCCCTATTTGAAACAGAGAAAATGAGTTCTCAGAAGCACTTGTGCAAAGAGCACTTAGGGAAACAGGAGGAGCAGGGTTCCAATCTTCCCTGGGATGGGAAAGTTAGTTAAACATCTTTACCATTAAACCTCCTAGAGACTGAAGACAAACAATAATGGATATGTGACTTAAAAAGAGATTATGAAAAAAAACCTGTCACCTACTAGGCCCAAATGTATCATGGAACACATCGTTATGCCACATGTAAGTCAGTCCATTGTGCAAAAATCAAAAAGCTTCAAAACCAAACCCACTCCGGGACAAACTGATATGACATACAATAAACCAGTCATCACCAAGGTATGAGATTCAGCCAAGTAGAAAATACAGAATAAAGAACTTGGCAAAGTTCACAGCAGATTTTCTCAGAAGGTCCTACCTTGTCATTGGTGTCCAGCACAATGGTGCTATGTCTCCACTTTGTTAGCACTATTGGTTCTTGCAGCCGCCTGTCCAGACTTCTACTTTTAATAATTTCTCTTTGCTGCTGAGATGAGGCATTATACTAAAGAAAACAAATTATACCTTATAAATAGAAACAAAAGTGGAATCTAAACATGCTGGCTCCAAGTGACACATGGTGTTAGGCAAAATTCACCATGTGACACTAACCTGAGTTTTCTCATCTCTGACCAGCACTGTGACACAATCAAGAAGATCACACATTTGGGTACTGGAGAGACCAAGTTAATGTTATCTTTGGCAAAACACTTGATCTCCACAAGGCTAAGTTTCATCAACTATAAAACAGATATAATGGAAATAGAGTTCTAAGGATTAAACAGTATAAAAAGTGCCAGATGTAGCCCTGATAGGTTCTCAATAAATATTCGTAGTTATAATTTACAAAATGAGGTCATTGGACAAATTAATTATTTTTATTTTTTTTTATTTTTTTAACATCTTCATTGGGGCACAACTGCTCCACAATGGTGTGCCAGCTTCTGCCCTACAACAAAGTGAATCAGTCACACATATTCATACGTTCCCATATCTCCTCCCTCCCGCGTCTCCCCCCCTCCCCGCTCCCTATCCCCACAAATTAATTTTTTAAGGTTCCTTCTACTTCGAAAATCCACATGAATTCAATTTGTGGTTTAGGTTTTTTTTAATGATGCTTTCATATACAACAGTATTCTCACATTTAAAGGAGTTTTTGTTTTTACTTTTACTTTGCATATATAGGCCAAACACACTATTATTTCTTTCTCTGAAGTGGTAAAACATAACCAAGTCAAAAGGCAGAGATGGTACTCCTTCCAAACACCAATCCTGAACATATCAGTTGTGTACAAAGGATAAGCAATAACTACCAACTGAAAATGAAATATAAAGTTAAGAATACATTATCAATAAGGTATTAGGTCTTGTGAGTGTCTGAAATGTCAAGTAGACCACCAGGCATAAACATTTGAGAAATGTGAGGTTTAGAGTTATGCTGTTTTATACAGGCAGTTTTAATAAATTATAAATAATAAATTATAATAAAATGACAAAAGACAATTCATCTACTTTTTAAGGGATACATCCTTCCCCTGAAACCAAAGGATACCTAATATCTACTTCTCTAAAAAGCCCAGTAAATCTTAAATTTTAATGACTCGTAATTTCAGTGAAATGTTTTATTATACGTTATACTACTAAATCTCAGTAATATATTATTTATATTGTTTTTAAAATTTAAAAACCTTCCAACATCTTTCTCCATAATATGCCATTTCTTCACTTTCCAAAATGAGTCCAGACAGGTCCCCCAAACTGTTTCCAAAGCTGTTACTTCATTTTTTACATTAAAAATTTGCCAAAGCCAGGCAATCACATATGGGTATATGTTTTTCATTCACTGCTGCTTAACAAACTGCCATCTTAAAATTTGTCACAGAAGTGAACAAAGGGATCATTTCGAGAATGAACAAAGACGAAGCTTAAAGGCTTCCCCCCAAAAAATTCTGTGCCGTAAATCACTAAGTAAAGAGAGACTGAGTTATTAAGCAGAGCTCCTTCCAGACAATCATCATTAGCAATAATTAAAATGTGTGTAAGCTTGTGTATGAACTTTAATGGATACCTACCCTAGCTGTTGAGCTTTATAACTACAGTTGTTTAGAAATCCTTTCCAAGGGGCAAGAAAAATAATGTAAAATTAAACTGGGTAATATTCACAATTTAAAAGGTGCTGGTAATTTTATTAGGCAACAGGATGTTGATAAAAGCAAATAAAGCACCAATAAAATGTCATATAAAATCTAGTGTAGACAGAAGACAAAAATAAAGTGTCACATAATCAGAGAAAAGAAAAATAAGATGACACCACAGCTAAAATACACACACACACACACACACACGGCTAAACGGCTAAAACAACATTTTAGAAATCTTTTTAGAACACCTTTTTTCTTTTAAGAATTTTAATTGCGATTTTATTTGAATTATTTCAAACATACAGAAGAACAGCGACTATAATAAAAACCCACCACAAGCTTCAGCATATCTAACATAAAACAGGTACCTTTTTTTTTTTAAAGAAAAAAAATATTAGAGTCCTCTGAAGACATCTTCCAGATTCCATTCCTCTCCCTCCCTCCCCGACAGTACCATATAGTTCAGTGCTCACCAATCTCACACACTTTACACTTTAGTACATATGTATGTATCTGTAAATACACAGTACCTGTAAGCTTTTAGATTTTATAAAAGTGGAATCATATCACATGCATCAATCTTCGACTTGCTTTTTCACTCAATATGTTTTTATTAAAACAAAAAAACAAAAAAAACTGCGTCCATATTGGTCAGTATGCAGCTCTAACTCATTTGTGTTTCACTTCTATGTAACACTACATTATATGCAGATACCACGATTTAACCATTCTGTTATAAATGGACACGTCCGAGGTGGCAGTACTAATTACACTTCTACCAGCAGAACATAATACTTTGGAATGCCCTACTTGGTACTGTTGAACTTATATGCATTTGTGTATATAAAATAAATGTATGTACATGTGCACAAATTTTGAAAATTCTATTAGAAGAGTGAAATGTTATCTCTTTTTCATTCTCTGATTACTTATAAATTTGAACATCTTTTCATATACTTATTTCATGAATCTCCTCTTCTCTGTATTGCTTAGTCATATATTTTGCCTATTTTTGACTGGGTTCTCTCTCTCACTAGTGTGTACATAAAGAACCAAGAGGCTCTTTATATATTTAGGTTTCTAAGGCTTCGTAAGCTATGTGAGTTGAATGTAGCTTTTCCGAGTCTGAAGCTCATCTCTTGCCTTTTGTGTATGCTATCTTTTGTATCAAAAGGTCTTCTGTTGAATTTTATGTAGTTGTATCTATCCATCTTTCCCTTTATAATTTTTCCTTATATAGTCTTGTTTAAGAAATCCTTCCCATTCTGAAGTCAAAGATATTCTTTGACATATTCTTTAGCTATTATAGTTTTGCTTATTACATTGACAACTGTCATCTACCTGGAATTACTTACTAGGTGTGAAGTCAAGATCTATGTTTATTTCATTTCTTCATGTGAATAACCAATAATCTTCCCAACATTTATTGCACAGCCCATGCTTTATCTGTTAATTTGTGATGCCACATCTGAGATTCCTATTCTGTTCTGCTGGTCTATTTCTCTCCACATGTGCCCACAACTTAATCAATACAGCAGGAACCCCGCCCCTGCCCCCAGATTCTCCCTACTCAGGAACATTTTGGTTCTTCATAGACCTTTGTTTGCAAATAAAATTTAGCATCAGTTCAAGACAAAAAAAAGGTAGGGACGGCGACAGGAAATGGAAATACAGTGAACTTACAGACCAATGGGGACATTTATAAAATTAAGTGTCCCAACCCAAGGTCATAATGGTGTATTGCACCATTTCAGGTCAACTTTTATGTCCCTCAATTCTGCTCTGAAATTTTCTTCATTAAGATCTTACAAACCTTCTGCCGGCGTATTCTTATTTATGACTCTTCTTAGTGTTGCTGCTGCTTCTAATGTAAAAAAGATCTTTATTCCTATTATCACATTTTCAAATTGACTTTTTATTAGAGACATGGGTAGCTTTTAGGTTGATTTTAATATCAGCACTTCACTCTTCAGTTTGCCGAATCTCCTGATTTTCTAATAATCAAAAGAACAACTGAATTTTTCAATTCATTTTTTTTTTCTTTTTTTACTGTTGAATAGAAACACTGATGGGAAAGTTACAGTCTAGGTCCTAACTCTATTGGCAAAGCTTCTGTAAATCGCACCATGAAGTATGAGATTTACTGTTGATTATATGATAAATAACTTTTAGCATGATGTAATATATCATTACATGTGAAGTGATCTTTTTGTAGAAACATATAGTTGGGTCATGGTTTTTTGTCATTTCTGAGAATCTTTTAACAGCTGTGCTTAAACCATTTACACTTAATGTAATTATTTATATGTTAGGATTTAAGTCTATTTTATTTGTTTTCTGTTCTGTTTATCATTCCTGTTTCTCCTTTCTGGCCTTCCTGTGGACTACCCTGAGGAGTTTTTACTATTATAGTTTAATTTACCTGTAGTTTCTTGAGTCTATCTCTTGTTACAGTTTTTTAGTGCTTGCTCTAGGGATTACAATGTACATACTTAATTTCTCTCAGTCTACCAATATCAGCCATTTTACTATTTCAAGTGAAATGTGGAAACCTTACCAACAATTACATCATAGTACTCTCTATGATATCGTTGTTTTAAATATCATCTCCGCCTACAATGAGTACTTCTTCAGAAATGTTATAATTTTTGTTTTAAAGGTCAAACATAATTTTTAAAACTCAGGACAAAACTCTCCTCAGATATTCACCCTTCCCATTGTACTTTCTTCATTCTTAATGTTCCAAGTTACCTTCATTTACCATTTCTTTTCTGTTTTAAGGACTTCCTATAGCAATTCTTTGGGAACAAGACTGCTAGTAATACATCTCTTAGTTTACTTTCATCTGAAAATGTCTTCATTTCACCTTCATTCCTGAAGGATATTTTTGCTGGATGTACAATTATGAGTTGACAGTTTTTTTTTTCAGCATTTGTAAAATGCTACACCACTTCCTTCTGGCTTCATGGTTTCTGATAAGACATCCACTGCCATTCAAATCATTATTACCCTACTGGTACTGTGTTGCTTCATTGAGCTGCTTTCAAGATTTTTTTTTGGAGGAGGAAAAAGGGAAGTCTTTAATTTTCAGAAATTTGATTACAATGCATCTGGATGTGGATTTCTTTGAGTTTATCCTCTTTAGTGTTTATTCAGCTTCTTGAATCTGTTGATTTGTCTTTTGCCACATTTGGGTATTTTCAAACATTGTTTCTGCATATATTTTTCAGCCTCACACTCTTTCTCTAC